TTTTTTTGTTTTTTTTTTTTTTTTTTCCTGGATCCTGCTTCAGCACCAAGATCTTTCAAGGAGCAGGTGGTCAGCCAACAAAGTGTGTTTGCTTTGGGGAGGTGGGCTCTCAGCAGAAGCACTGATGGGTGATCATTACTGAACGCTAGATTCTAATTGCCTGCCATCAAAATTTTGGATCCGTTGCTTCCTTATGAAGTATTACAAATTTAAAGTCAATTTACAATGTTAGAACTGACACTTGTAGCTAAAATGTTGTTGATCTGTAGCCTAATCGTAGCCATTTACAAAACATGCAAGCCTGAGGTCTACTGAAATGTAGAGCAATGCACAGAAATATGTAAGATTTGGTTTCCCAATCTATGAGCTGTGTGTGTGTCAAGCACACAATGGTGGCTGCTTCTGTGTTTCAGTTGAGTTTCAGATGCTATTATTCATAAAGTCTCAGATATATTCTGGTAGAGGTTTATGGGGCAGCTGTTATCAAGGAGATTTCCTGACTCGTAATTCCCACAGACACGTGCTCCTACAGTAGTCTTCTACTATCCCAGATAACGACGTTCTTTTACTTGCACTCCCACAAAGACATGGGGAGATGATCGGAACTGTAACTATGAATGCCATAGTCCTAAAACTAGGAAATCCCACTGGATTTGGGTTCCCATATTGTTCATATGTAAGTAAATACAATAGCGTCATTCAGGATGCATGCTTTCAAAGAGTGATGGAGACAGGGCACCAAACGAGCTCTTAAAAAGTGAGCTGACTGAAATTTTCTTACTGTGTGTCAGATGTCTGTAGTGAGAAGTTTATGTAGACTTCAGGTTTTAGATGTGCTTTGATTTATCGTAGTGGACTCTGACTCCTGACAAAAGTGATTTCATGCAGAGTTACTCAGAGTATTACTTTTATTTCTCATTTTGCAGATGAAAACCTACAGTTAGAGATAAATTACAAGGCAAGGCTAAGAACCTTCCTGAAACAACAAGCAACAATAAGGCGGTAGTTTATGTTGCCACTTTCTCCCCAAGCTTGGACTCCTATTGCACATAAAGCTGCTTTAGGCCTTCTTCCTCATTTATTTTCAATAAAATATTTATTGGCCTTCTATGGCAGAAGTTTCAACAGCTGCTTTTAAGTACAGCCAAGAACCTACAGTGATGTGCTTTGTAAGCTTGAAGCTATGGCTTTATAGCTTACATATGTGCATCAGAACAGATCATCTTCCTGTGCTTTTTCTGGTTTAGTATTTCTGAAAAAATCCCAGACTTTGCCCCATACTTTGGTTTAATGTTGCTGAGGAATAGGGATTTGATTCCTTCACCCAGGTACTTGTCTGGCCACAATATTTTACTCCCCTCTCCTGGCTCTTTATGTGGTTCTGTGATACATTTTGGTCACGCAGTGGAAGACTGCTAGGGTTTGGGAATCCTAGGGGTATAATCTTACCTCTTGCTGCCTTTTGTTGTCAGGTGTCATTGTGTATTTTACATGGAAAAGCTAACAGGACTGGGTTTTGTGGGGTTTTCTTTCTTTCTTTTTTTTTTTTTTTAAATGGCTTCTCTGCAGTGGTTTCTGGTGATCTGATTGCAAGGACATTGAACAATGCCCTATTTTGGCATTCCCCTACCCTTCAGAAGTTTGTCTGGTGCCAAACATGCATACCTTCTTGTGTGCTTCTATTTGTGAAGCTCGTCATTCATATGTGTTCCGGACACATTCCTAGTTACATGAGTTAATATGCTTTTTAGGTATGAAGCATCAGGTGAAAGTGTATAAACTGGAGGTGATACTTAAATGACACTGTAGCCTGTCTTGATGTAAAAGGACGGAGTTGTGTTGACAACGCCTACAGCCCTGAGAGTAGGAACTGTTGCTGTGCATACGGTACATTTCTGCCAGGCTGTCCATGCAGAGAAGCTGGGAGGAAAAGTTCCTGTAAGGCCCCAAGGGGTCATCTCTGCAAAGAGCATGTGTTTACATAATGGAGAAAAATGTGACCCAGAGATGGAGGATTGACAAAAAGGAGAAAATCCAGTGAAAATGGATGCAGAAGGTTTGGTAGGGTTGGATGGGTGTGGGGTACTGAGTGGGGAAGAAGCTGACGGGGAATCTAAGTTTGTGGGGAAAAGGCAACTGAATGCACAATTTAAGGAATTTGCTAGTAAGATGTAGCAGACAATGGAACTGTAAGGGAGAAGAGACTGTGTGTGGAAGAAGGCTCTGGGAAAAGGCTGTTGATGATCCAGGCAAAGTGGACAGGATTAAAACAACAGGACTGAGTGCAGGAAAAAAAAAGTACCATGCACAGGGGTGGGAGATTTGTTAGGGGAACAGTGGAGTTAGGAGGGTTTGGGAAACCAGGAGAGGTTGGAATCAGGATAGGCATTCATTTCCTTGAAGCTCTAAAATCCAAAGGCAAATTCAGTGAAGAGTGCAGAAATGCACATAATAAGGTGGTTCTTGTGCAAGAAATAAGTAACAGGCAATGAGATGCTACTCCCATCTTGCTGATTGCCATCCTGTAGATGCCCTGGGAAGTTCCTGGGTGGGTATAGCCTTCCTTGTTCTGCCTGTATTGTTTGTATTGCAGCTTTTTTTTACTTGCTTGCTTGCTTTATTTTTATATTGAACAAGATTATAATTTTTTTTGTTTTCAGAAAATGTAAATCCTTTAAAATGGATAGGAATGAGGAACCATATGATCTGTAGCTCACTCACCATGGTTCTTCCTCTCCCCTGTCACAAAACCATCACATAATTTGATCTTGGTAATATTTCTAACTGGAAATAAATAAGGGGACACAAACTCCGTGGCTTCTATAAGAGGTTACAGTGTATGGCCTGACTGAGATGTTCCTTTCCATACTGAAGAGAGCATGTTGTGTAGTCTGGTGTTACCACGTTATTCTCATTTCTAGTAATTTTCACACCTGTCTTAATTGTCTGCCATGATCTAATAAACTTCTGTAGATGGAGGTTCAAAGGTTTTGTTTCGTCCTCATTTAATCAAGAGAGACGGGTCTCTGGGCCCCTGTGTGACCTCTTTGGTCATGATGTTCATGTAAATTTTGCCTTACTCTGAGGTTGTATCTTATTGTAGTTGATCTTTTGCAGACTTGGCTGTCTTTGCTTGCATCTTTCTTAGGAAGCTCATAAGACAAAGAGAGATGTTATTACAGGGATCTTTAAGTCTTAGAAAACTGTGAAGTGATTAATATTTGACTGCTGAGCTAGAAATGAATACACAAATATTTTGGAAGGATATTGCTTCTTTGCTACAAGGCAGTGTTAGATAACATGTCAACATCTGTCACTCTATCAAAAGAAGTTCTTGGTCATGCTATCTTCTTGTATGTATTAGGGGTTTTCAGTACTTACCACTAGATTGCCTGAGAATGAGACTCACGTTTTCAAATTTACAGCAAGCGTGATACAATTATCTTAGTAGGTTACTGGCATTGTTACATTGCTTTGAATTATTATGAAGAGATTTATCTGTTAGGAGTCCCTGCTGAGTGCAATGGAGTTATGGGGAAGAATACTAATAAACAGTTGCTTCCATGAATAACTGTTAATCCTATAATGTTTTTCAAGACATTTCTGTTATGGTTTGAGGCTTTTATTTTTCTACATCTGACAAGCATCCCCAGGTCTCAGTGATACAAGTCTAAAATGCTAAAACTCTAAACAATACTGGGTTTTGTGTGAGTTTTCTTTCTCTTCCTTTTCCTCCACCAAAAAAAAAAAAAGCCTTGAAGGAGGAGGCTTTGTCTCTAAATATATATTTATCATGCAGTAAGGCTTTTAAATTACTTATTACCACTTCAGTATGCAAATGCTGAAAGGCATTTTACATTTCATAACTAGCAAATGCTGCTACATTTTGGGTTTCTGTCATACTCACAGTCTTAGTCTTCCAAAGCACAGAGTATTACTGGTGAGTTGATTAGCATGGATTTTATGTACTTAAAACCCTGCAGGATTAAGATCTGGTGGTTTGGGTTTGTGTTTTTTTTCTTTTTTTTTTTTTTTTTTTTTTTTTTTAATATATATGGCTTTTAAAATATATAGTAAAAATGTTTGGCTTGATATTCTAGAAAGACAAGAAACTATGCCTGACATGATTTTAAATATGGAGCAATACATCGTATTAAATTACTGAGGAAAAATAAAGGATTTATCCTTTATGCCAGAAGACTTGAGGGGGGACGGGGGGATGCGATGCGGCACCGTGTTCAGCACCTGAGCTCTGGACAGCGGCATTTGAAGGACCAAAGACTCGTGTACATTCAAAACGTGGGGTCGAAAGCAAAGTAAAGGTGTTACCGTTCTTCGTGTTGTGGCATGCTCCAGTGTTACAATCAGGATCTAGTCTAGTGTAGGCTAAACTTGAGATCCTAGTATTTTATGTAATAATGTATTTTATAGACTATTAGCAGGCATGTTTTATAACAATTAAAATGATTTGCTCATACGGCCAAGATAAAATCTAAGCTTAAATGAGAATACTGACCAAATGTACTTTATGTTCTGAGGAATTATAAAAAACTTGATATTCGGAGCAACAAAATAATTTTAGCACCCCAAACTTAGAAATGAGTTTTGAGTGATTAAATGTCAAGAAGTTGAAATAGGTGGAAAGAAGCAGTTTGTATATTTGTGTGTGTGTGTGGATACATATCATAGTTTGCAGTGTATAAATACAGTTTGTAGAATAGTGAACTACATGATTTTTTAGTGAAATGAGTTGTGTCAAACTACATCATTAGAATAAAGAGGGTATTACTGCATTTTAAAAACATTTTGTCCATGTACTACTTGCCATGTGCCTTGAATACACTGTGAAAACAGGAATTCGCAGAAACAGGTTGAAATGTAGTTGTTGAAACATGTAGCTGAAATCTTGTGTTCTTATTTCAATCGTGTTTTGTTTTTGTTTTCCTTCTGAGCTAAATTAAAATAATGACTGTGATTATTTTTTTCCTTTTTGTTTCTAGGGGTTGATACAAAATTGAAATTCACTCTTGAACCATCTTTAGGTCAAAATGGTTTTCAGCAGGTAATTTTATTAATTTTTCTCTTGAGTTTATGAAGGACTGGGTTCTCTTCAATCAAGGTACTTGCCCTTGTTCACAAGTGCATCTATCGTCATCGTGTCAGCATGTTATTTTCAATTTGCAATATTGCATCAAGAGCTGTTCCGTTAGTATTTGGAAAACGCAATAGGCTTTCATTGTTTGCTCAGATATCTCATAACTCTTTAGAATATTAAAATTTTGTTATCTCATTAAGTAATTAATCTATATTTTCCCTGTGAGTGGATTAAGCAGTTAAACTCTGAGATGTGTGCAGTAAAATGAAATGAATATGTGTGGCTGCAAGTGTTGTAAATGTTGCTATACTGTTTCATTAAACTGATGGTGGATTTTACACATTTTTGGATGCTTTTGCTTTTAGTGGCATGATGCACTCAAAGCAGTGGCCAGATTGCCGACAGGCATACCGAAAGAATGGCGGAGAAAGGTAGGTAGACCTGTACACTTTGTGGGACATATTGCCTGTGGGTTTCTCAGGAGAGATGAATGACATCAATATTATCAGTGGGTTTTAGCAAATATTTGGAAGTTTTAAGTTTCAGTTGTGCTGGGGATTTTTCATAGTTTACGTTCGTCAGTGATAGCCTCATAGGTGAGCTGGAGAGACTGAGAAGGTGGGTAAAGATGATGTTTTCAATAGTTGTGCTCTTTGTGCCTGAGGCTTAGGTAACTTATTGTGGTGCAGATGTTATTGCTTCATTCTGTCAGCTGCAAGGAATTGCATTGGTGAAGCTGCCTCCACAGCTGAAGATCAGCTGAAAGGAGAGCAAATCTCCAGTGTAGGCTGTCATACTTATGAAGATGAAGTTGATAGTGCTGACAAGAATGCTCATAGCAACATTTGATGGGGGAAGGAACAAATTGCCTAAATTAGGGAAGTTCAGAGTCGGGAGTAATGTGGAATGATAGGGTGCACCATTAATGGGAAATTGCACTGAGTTAGTGTTGTAGGAAAGGGTCCAGTGGGATTTTGCTAAACTTACTTTGTTGCTTTCTTCAACACTTGAAGTTCCCCAGACTAAAAAAAGGCATGTGTATTCATCTTTTCTATAAAACTCTGAGTCACACAATCTCAGCTTTAAAAATACAATTTTAATAGAAAGACTATTTTTAAAGCTTTATAAAGTATATGTAGTTCCATATATTTTTGGTACATCAGATTCATGTCCTTTTCCTGTTTTCTTTTTGCTGTCTTTCTAAACCAAACTGTTCCTCTTTACAAATTGGGGGGAAGGAAATGGAAGACTTATAGCGCCATTGTTTTCTTCACACTGCTATGATTTTATTTTTCATCTGTAATTCCAGTGAATCATTATATCCACCTAGCAGTCTTTTTTCTTTTGTGAAATGTTCTTTTCCCACACTCCAATAAGTCTCTCAGACATGTTTCTGTGGTACATGAGTGGCAGAGATCACAGAACCACAGAATGGTTGAGGTTGTAAGGGACATCTGGTCCACCCCGCCTGCCCAAGCAGAGTCACCTACAGGTTGCCCAGGACTGTGTCCAGATGGCTTTTTAATACCTCCAAGGAAGGAGACTCCTCAACCTCTCTGGGCAATCAGTGTCAGTGCTTTGTCAGCCTCAAACAAACCCAAACCAAACTGTTTCCTGATGTTTGGACAGAACCTCCTGTGTTTCAGGTTGTGCCTATTGTCTCTGGTCCTCTCACTGGGCACTGAGAAGAGCCTGGCTCCATCCTCTTTGTACCCTCCCTTCAGGTATTTGTATAAATTGACAAGATACTCCCTGATCCTTCTCTTTTCCAGGCTGAACAGGGCTGGCTGTCCCAGCCTTTCCTCATAGGAGAGATGATCCAGTCCCTTAATCCTCTTAGTGTCCTCTTGCTGGACTCTCTTCAGTAGCTCTCTGTATCTCTTGCACTGGGGAGCCCGGGACTGGCCCCAGCACTCCAGGTGTGTCTCACCAGGGCTGAGCAGAGGTGAAGGATCACCTCCTTCAACCTCTGTTGCCTCATAGTCAACTTTGAGGGCCCCCAGTTCCTTCTCTGCAGAGCTGCTTTTGGACTCGATGGTCCTCAGCATATACTGGTTGCTGGGGTTTTTCCTCTCCAGGTGCAGGACTTTGCACTTCTCCTTGCTGAACTTCGTGAAGTTCTTGTCAGCCCACTTCTCCAGCCTGTCAAGGTGCCCTTGGGCTTATCAGCCTCTCCTCCCAGTTTTGTCATCAGCAGACTTGCTGAGGGTATGCTCTGCCACATCATCCAACTCAGATCTCAGTCTTTTCATTCTGCCCGTCTCTGTGTTTGCTCACACGTGACTGCATGATGCTAACCAAAGAAGTAGCATTAAGAAAAGGGATGTGGTTTTTTTTTCATTGCCATTCACTGGCGTCCCAATGATTTTAAGATGGATACCAAAATAAAGGAAGCATTTTGTGTTGGCAGCATGCTGATTGCCTCCTTTGCTGGCAGCAGAAGGAGCAGGGTGACATCTGCATTATTGCCATGGCATGTGACATTGGTTTTCTGGGGCTGACAGAGATAAAGAATCCAGTCAAGCAACATCAGTAGGATGTCAGCAGTGCCAAAGGCAGCTGGGAGGCAGAACTGCGGCATTCCTCCGCATGGGTGGTTTCGCAGAAGTGTGGGAAGGGACATTTAAATACAGAAAACATGAGATTCTGGGAGCTGTCTATAAATTCCTTCATCATGCAACTATCTAAGTGTTTAAATCTGTGGGAAGTGTCTGAATTGCTTTTCTCACTTGAGTGAGTTAACGACTGACATAAAACTCGACCAGTTTGCTTTCATGATTTCTTTCAGTTTCCTGAAGAGAAAGATCGTTTGTTGTTACTTGCTGTCTTTGTATGATCTGTCATGTGTTTTTCATGGTTCAGGAACCTTTCAAATGTTTAATAAAAGTCCAGCCTTTTTCTTAGCTACACATGCATAAATCTGTTCTGGTAAATATTAGGCTTTAAAAATAGTCAAAATGTTTGTTTTCAGAACTCCCTGTAGCACGAACAGTTTAGGAAGCCCTCTTGTAAAGAGTAAGTTACTCTGATCCAGATGATACTTTCAGATCAATCCCAAATACTTCATCCTAGATGCTATTTCTTCTGCAGAGTTGATCAGAAGAGACCTCTGGTAAAGAGAAGCACCACTAGATTTCTTTTATGGGGGTTTCCAAGGGATGGATCCATGGTTGAATTTGAGGAAAGCCTGCAGCAGTGTTACCTGTTTATAGAACTCCTTGCTGGTTATGAAGTTAGAGGAGCTGATCTGACAAGGAAGGCCCTTGCAGGAGAACGTGCTTCCATCTTGGAGGACCCCTGTGGATTCAGTTTCTAACAGTGGATTTGCATCTTCGTAAACAGTTCACAAATCTGGACACTTACGCTGTTTCCTTCCTTTTTAGGGAGCAAAGTATTACTTTAATTGTGCAAAAACTGTATTAGATATAGTCCTCTTTTGCATATTTCAAGTCTAGTAGCAGATCACATGTGGGTGAAGCTGATGAGGTTCATCTAACAGTGTATATCAAAACTGTTCATATTTTGTCTGAGAAATAATTAATTTTATTTATTTGCTTTGTGTATTTCTAGGTTTGGCTGACCCTAGCTGATCAGTACTTACACAGTATAGCCATTGACTGGGATAAAACCATGCGTTTCACATTCAATGAAAGAAGTAATCCTGATGATGACTCTATGGGCATCCAGATAGTGAAGGTAGCCAGCTAATTTGTTATTTTATTTTAATTTTTGAATGAAAAGTTTAATTTTTCTTTAGTAGATGGAATTTGGATTTATTTTGTTCTCTCCAACTGTTTTGGCAAAAATCACGTCTTAATTCTCTTTGGCTCACCAAAAATTATTTCTTCAGCATCTTTGGTCCTTCTGCACCAGTCTGGTTAGTATTAGCTGGGAAAGAAATTGCTATCACTCTTTTTTTTTTGTTGTTGTTCAATTTCTACTTTTTTATTTTAAAAGAAATACTGGAGTTTAATAGAGACAAAGGAACATAAGTGAGGTTTTTTTCCTCTTACCTATAAATAAACACAAAAGTTTGCTGGGATTAAAAAATGTGTTTTATAATATACCAACTGAGCATTTTCGGTTATTTTACAGGTATGAAATGCCTTTGTCTATGTATATTTCTCAACTAATTAACATTTAGTATTTAAACAGTGGGCAGTTTTAGGGAAGAGCTTGATAGATCTGTATTGCTGTGGTGACTTAAATATTTTTCTGTTTACCTATTTAGGAAGTATTGCTCTATTTAGGAGAGATTGTGTTCTACAGTAACCTTTATTAGATTATGAGGAGCAAAATACCTTGTGCTTGTGATTATTACAGTTGTCACCTGTATTTGGTAATTTAAGTTTATAGATATGAAATATTAAACATTGTAGTACATGTTTTGACTTTCACTTATAAATTGGTTAAATCTCAAGGATGCTGTTTCTGGTTTTTTATGTTTTGAAAACTTAATTGCTTAGTAGTACTTTTATACTTCAATAAAAACCGTTGCTCTTTTTTGTTCAGTTAAGCAGCTGTTATGTCTTGCCTCTGAAACATAACTATTTGTTAATATCTTCTGTGACAACTTCATGTGAACATCTTTTAGGTAACTTGTTTACTTAAGAGCTTGCTAAACCTATTTCTCTTCACTCAGCTAAAGGTTTACAGATTAAAAAATAAACATTGTCATCAACTTTGGGAGTATGTATTGGGAGGGTGGAGGTGGAAGGAAAACTGGGACAGACGGGAGAGCTAAAGGAGGAAGGAAAATGGGAAAATGTACATCTTTTCTGTCCTTGTCTCTTCTTTTTTTCTTTTTTTTTTTTTTCCCTCCCCCCCTCTTTTTCTGTTCCCCCTCCTCCCTTTAAAGGACCTTCACCGAACTGGTTGCAGTTCTTACTGTGGCCAGGAGGCAGAGCAAGACCGAGTGGTATTAAAACGTGTTTTGCTGGCATATGCCAGATGGAATAAATCTGTTGGCTATTGTCAAGGATTTAACATACTGGCTGCACTTATTCTGGAAGTAATGGAGGGCAATGAAGGGGATGCCCTGAAAGTGAGTAAAATTTTTTTTTTTTTTCAGATTGCTTTTAGTTAGTGAACTTTATAGTAAACTGGTGTGTGAATTTTGTAGGCAGCCTAGAAGAGCAGAACTCAAAAGAGTTAAGCAGTTTATATCTGTGAATCGTTTGTTGTCCTCTCTGAGCTAAAATGAACTGTTCGAATGTTATCACTGTTGTTTTTTTTTTTTTTTTTCAAACAACAAATGAGGGCTTGTCCATAAAAAGAAAATAAATGGGAACACTGCTGCTGATTTTAGAATATCTTATCCCATGATCCCAAATCCACTTCCAAACACCATAGGTAGCTGAAACCTTCAGATTCCATAATCAACCTCTTATGTGTCAGTAGCATGCAAGGCAGTTAATAAATTTGTTGCGTTTCAAAGCGAATTCTAGCAAAACACAAAATAAATATTTAAAATTAAAGTAAATCACTTTGAAGCTACTTTCTGGGCTACGTTAGTCATGCAGTGTTCTGGTTTTTTAGACCTTTTCTAATTAAAGCTTCATGAAATTTATAGTACATCAGAAAATGGAAGTACAGTTTACTACAGGATGTGGTTTAAAGTTTGCCAAGATCATGTGCAAATTCCCTTAAGTAAACTTGCTCATATGTATGAGTTGGGGTCAAATTAGTAAAAATGACTGTGACTCTTGAGATACTGTTTGGTTTGCCTTAAATAATGTTTTAAATATGGTAAATATTTAGATTCACTCAGAGCTCCTAAAATATAAAGCTTGTGGTAGCAGAGTCCAGCTAGCTGGTACTTAATACTTCATTATAGAGAGCTGCCTGTAATAGGAAGAAAATACCATAATATACCTACTTTGTATCAGAGAGTAAAATTTCCTTTCCATAATTCTTGCTAAAAATTTCCTCGGTGTTTTAACTATAATTTGTCACATTTTATTGTGATCTTATACTGTCCAGAAGCTCCTAAAACACATTATGATAATATAGGAAATACAATTGTCCAAGATTTGTGAAGTCCAAATTGATTATAAGAACTGTGTGCCTTCTTATGTTATTGGATTGTCTTGTACTGTGAGCAGCGTCAGGCTCCTTGTGCTAAGGAGACAATGCAATGGTGCCCGACTGCCTGGGGAGGTAAAGCACTGACAGCTGTTAGCATCAAAATGGGCCTTACCTGGCAAAAGTAAGAATGGAAAATAAAGTAATTTATTTTCTAAGCTTAGTGCATAGGCTCTGCAGGGTTGGAATTTCCCCAGAAGAGAGAGGGAAAAGGGAAGGGGAAAAAAAAAAGGAATGGGGGAAAAGAAAGAAAGGAATTGGGGGTTAGCATGTGGCTGTTTCCTTCTTGTAGTCACTGTGCCGTCTAAAGCAAGTGAGGAGCGACTTTGGAACAGCTGCAGAGGCTGTTGCCTGTAAAACTGCTCTCAGGATTGGAGCTGCGGGGAAACTATGTTTGGATTATTGTAAGTCTAGGAGTTAAGGGAGCAAGGGGATTCTCATGGCTTGCCAGTCAGGTCCCCTTTCTGAGAAGGACAAAGGCTCTGTGGCTGGGAAGTGTCTCCCAGAGGCTGGGAAACAGCTGGTACTACTGACACCATGGGGCTTTAATGGCACAGGATCCAATGTGGTAGCTTCAGTGAATGCCAAGCCAGGGATGCTTGAGTCTTCACTAGTTAAGGTAAGCATGTTTAATTCCCTGAAGACACCTCAAAGTTAGCCCACTGAAATTATGATAAGAAGATCAGAGCTTGCATGTGTAGAAGCTATCAAAGTACACATAAAAGTCTCATAGATACTGAAACTTAAAAAACATTTTTTTCCTGCACATTATTGTGGAGAAACACTACAAAGTCAAACAATAAAAATAAATACGTAGAGATGTGTCATGAAGAAAGTGTCTATTGCAATCTGGTAAATATGTGAAGCTGCTTTTTAAAAAAAATTCTCAAAACTATCCACATGTCAGTGAAATAGAATGGACTTCAGTGTTGCAAAAAGATTTCTGTTCTTTCCTGTGCTCTCATACATCTGACATTTTTGAAGTAATAGTAGGAAGCGAGCAAAAGCAATTATAAAATGGTTTCTTTGACATAGGGATGTATGGCTTATGTCATAAGAAATTAATAAAAACACAGGTAGTGTAGTTGTAAGTTAATGTTGCTGTATTAAATTACTCTTCCATTGGTTGAAATATATCTGAAGAAAATAAAGCATATTTTAAAAGGCAATGAGTTGTCTCAGTATTCAGCAAAGGTTAGGGAATGCATTGTCAAAATACGAAATTCCAGCTTATTTACTGATCTCCTATTTTCTTTCAATCCTTAAAATTTAACAAAACCAAAAACCACCATCAAAAACGTGTAAAAGCTACTTATTTGCCTGTATTGACTACTAATCTACATGCTTTAAAACATGGAACAGAAGGCTGTTACTGACCGAAAAAATCTTGCAAGGACAAATGGTAGTATGCGGTCAGAAGCTGCTGGGAGAGAAAATGAAACAGTAAGACTATGTAAGGTGGTGCTCTTGGAAGTCAGTTGTCTGCCAAGCTATTTTGTGGACATCTTACGAAAAGAAGGGAATTGGAAGGAGGATTGTCTCCTGTGTGTAAAGGTGCCGCGCTCCTCAAGCATTAGAGGCTGTAGAAAACAGATGATAAGGGTGCTCGTTTGAAATCTTAACAAAGGAGCAATGGAGAGTTGAAGCAGACGGGATGACTGCGTGCAGGCTCTCTGGATACAGTTTGTAGGGTGGCCATAGAGATTGTAAAAGATCCTGGAGTGAAGGTCAGCATCTTTGGGCTGATGATATGCACTAACTTCTGCATATTTCTTTGTTGCATTTGTTCAGGATGTCACCGGACAGTATCCAGTTAATACATTGCCACCCATGTAGTTCAGCTGTCTCACTTGAAACAGATGTCTGTTAAAAATGTCTCATGCTGCTTAATTTAGCACCTTTTACAGTGACAAGATGAAGTGCAGCACACGGTAACACATCCCAGTAAAGCATGTTCCTTCTTTAAGGAGCACTATCTTGCATTTTGGAGAGGGGAAAAAGATGATTTGGAAGATCAGTCTTCTAGTTGTGGCGGTTAACAACCACAGAAGGGACAGTGGAACTTTCCAGCAGTGGAGAATCTTATGAACATGTACAGCATCAGAATTGCCAAAAATTGCCTTCGGTTTGAGTAATGCTTCCAATTCGGGCACAGCTTACTGGGACATTGATTTTTGGTCATTAATGGTTCCTAAATTCTGGACAGCTTCAAGAGGCCTTTGCACCTTGATTGCTTGTGAATACTTAGCATACCTGTGGATGCGTAAAATGAAAATGTTTTCTCCCTGTGTAAATGGAGATACCAGAGGCATGTGTTGCCACTCTCTCCAAGACACTCTTTAGTGAACAGAGAACTTCTAAGATTTTTTTTTTCTGTTATTCTTAGAAAATAACTGGTGCTGTAAGTTCTACATGGTATTTCATTTACCCACAGATCATGATTTACCTAATTGATAAGGTGCTTCCTGATAGCTATTTTGTCAATAATCTCCGTGCTCTCTCTGTGGATATGGCTGTTTTCCGAGATCTTTTACGAATGAAACTTCCTGAACTGTCCCAGCACTTAGACACTCTGCAAAGAGCTGCTAACAGAGAAAGTGGAGGTAGGTTCAACAGAAAATGCTACTAAATTCCTTTTTGTTACTGTTTCATCTGAGCACTGATCTAAAAATACAGTCTTTGAAGCGTTTACATGATTTTATTGCTTAGAATATATATTTTAAATTGTTAAGGTGAAAAATGACACTTCCCTGTATTGATAACCTTGACATGAACCGGTGGTGCTCTCAGGAAAAAAATAAAGGGGAAATAATTTGGTTGTGATTCTTGTTGACAAGGATATAAAACACATGGAGTGACAACCACTGTTACACACAGTTTAGTACAAGGGCTACCTTGAAAATGTTGTTTCTTGCCTTAGCGGAAGATACCTGTCCTAGCGTTTCTCCTTGTAGTTGCTAGCTTACATAGCTGTTCTGGGAAGAGTTACAGTGTGACAGCCAGTGGTGGCTGGTTAATATTTCTTCACCTGGATGCTTGGTAATACACAGGTACAAAACTCAGAAGTACTTCTTGGGTTGCTACCTAAAAACTGGCTTTATACTGTGATCTTTTTCTGGTATAGCATTCCCTCCAGACTTCTTTTTTTTTTAAGCAAGATACAGGTCTTTTATTTGAGAGTGTTTTGGGTAGGGTGGGTTTGTTGTTGTTGGTTGGTTGGGATTTTTTTCAGACTGGAAGCTAAGTGCACCCCAAGTTCCATTTTAGAAAAGACCTACTATCATGTTCCATGTCAATAAACTGTGACTGTGCCCAAGCTGTACAAAAACAAAGAAAGGATATCAAGGAAGTATTTGTTGTTTGAAAGTGTTTTCGCAGTCAACAGCCTATTTGGTAATGACCTTCAGTGCATCAGTTGATACAAGGATGCACAAAGTGTTCTCTGAGCATAACAAGAAAGTAAAACTTAAGAGTGTTGGGCTAAAATACTAAATCTTGTTTGAAACTTAACAAGCCAAAAGGAAAACTGAATGTGTTACAATTGCTTTTGCTAAGCTGGCAGTGCATCAGGGTACTAAAACAATAGATAGGACTTTACAGTCACAGTCACCTTCACCTTCATGTAGATAAAGACCTATGCCATTAGTTTCTGAAGAAATCCGGTGGGTTTAGGGTTTTTTAATAAAAGCTTTTAGCTCATATGGCTTTGGGGAAGGAAAAGCAATCTTTCTGATATAAAGAAAAAAAAAAGTATGATGGTATTTTCCAGGGTTTACAGTCCCAAGCCAATGCTGCTGCTTAGAGTTTTTTACAGTGCAGCAGAATGAGAGGTGACTAAGCGTGTCATTTTTCCATCACTCTTTTTCTCAGCTTATATTTGGACAGCTGCAGTCTAAGTAAGTTCTGAGCAGTAACAGAGGTACTAGAATGTCTGGTGAATTTCAGTATGCTGTTAATAGTCACTGTAAAATAATAGTAAATTACAATTACTTTAAACATTATTTATATATTTATTTATTTTAATTTCAGGAGGCTACGAACCACCACTTACAAATGTCTTCACAATGCAGTGGTTTCTGACCCTCTTTGCCACTTGTCTGCCTAACCATACAGTTTTGAAGATCTGGGATTCAGTATTCTTTGAAGGCTCTGAAATTATACTGAGAGTAGCTTTGGCTATCTGGGCAAAGTTAGGAGAGTAAGTGATTATTTTTATATGATCTTTCTTTTCAGTGTGAGCAATATGTAATTTATGTTGTTCTGAAGAGCGTGTTCTCAATTCTAAACAATATGCAATCTTTCAGGAGAATGATTCTGCTTTGAAAAAGCTGCACAGAGTGCCTCTATGGCTTCCTGAAAAACACGTGCTTCTGACATCATGTCAGAATGGGCATGATAATTAATTGATCCTTTCTGCAGGAAATGTCTTCAGTTGTTTCCGTTGTCTGTGTATAATGTCTTCATGCTATGCTAAAAGGTTGGTTGAACTCCAGAATGTAGACCTGTGAGGGAGCTGATAAATACTCTGTGGAAAGACATACAGAGAGACTTGAGGGTGACTAGCTGATTTAGTTGGGTATCTGAAGCTGGGGGGATGTTAATTCCCTTATTTTCACTGAAGGACACTCAAGAATTTGAGCCCATTGGCTATAGCTGAGGAAGGAGTTCAGTGTTACTAAGAGAATGATTTAGTGTTACATGGTTCTTTTCTGTTAAGACTTGAAAACAAATTTTCCTGAAATTCTGTGTTTTTAAGCACATTCTAGCCAAGTTTATATTCTAGTCCTTTATGGCCTTGGAAACTCATCACATAGGACAAAACACAAGAGATGGTTAGTTCGTCTAAAGTCATCCCTTGTCACAGCAAATATTTACATTCTAAAGAGCATGCAGTGCTCCTGGAGAAACCAGTTTTGTCACTGACTTCAGTGGGAGGTGTGAGCTCTGACAGGTCAAGCAGATGTTAGTTCAGCTGGAAACTTTTTTCAGCTGGCGTCAGCAGCTGCATCAATTTTTTCTTGTGGTGCCCATCAACACTTACCTTCCTTTTTTCCCTGAGACCAAACCACTGGGATTTATGTTCAGCTCTGTCCTTGGAGGTTTAATTTTTTTTTTCTTTCTGAATAAATCAGCACTGCAGGCCAGTAGCATTGTAAGAGACTTTGTTTAGTATATTTAATTTTTAATCTGAAGAATAATAATTAGAATAATAATTTCCTAAGAACTTTATTTGTTCAGTTCATGACTGAAACTTGCATGAACCATTTGCATTAGGATTAAGCTATATGTAGTCCCATTGTGCTTTATTACTTTGAACCATACCTTCAGATAAAAGGTCCTGTTGCAGTGGGTCTCTGTGCACTTAAAAGCTGTAATTGTGAATGTTCCAACTCATGATTAAAAAGTAGGTCATTGCTTTGAAGATTTTACCATAAAACTTAAAGCAAAAATGAAATGTGTTTTATAAAAATTGAAAGGAAAAGAATGAAGAAATCTGTAAGAGTATGTCTAAAAGAATAAGCTGATCACACTGCACACCTTGTAACTGTTGTTTGTGGGGAATGGGAGAAGTCTGGCAGATTTGGGGGCAATTAACAGAAAGGGACACTGATGGGGTGACCAGAGATCCAGAAGATGATGAATCACTAAAACTGAGCAAGAATTAATATACAGTAAGTTTGTGATTAATCCTATCAAATGAGATGACGAAGTAAAAGATTGGGCACTATGTTTTTTTTCTGGGAGAAGGTTGCAATTTTGTTCCTCTTTCTTCTCCACTAGATACGTAACGGGGGGATTTAAGGAAGTGGGGCCTGAAACACTGATCATAGTCTCGTGATCTTCATACTTCTCAGGACTTATCTTTCTAGACATGAAAATGGGGTGAGAAGTGCTTATCTTAAAATGTGGGTGGTTCAATCATACTTCTGTTTTGAGGGAGACAGAAGGAAGGGGCATTTAAAACTAGGTGCATTAGAGAAAGCAGTATGTGGAGGTGTTGAGAGACTGAGGGTATCAGGGAAGGTAAGCAGTAGGTTTGTGATAATTGGCTACATACCCATTGTTTCTACTTTTTTTTTCCCCTACTTCATCATTCTTTTAGCTAAACTATGTTAAAATTTCAGTAGGAGTCTCATAGTTCAGTGGGTGTTTCCTATAGAGGCTGAAGATTAAAGGAAGCTTCCTCTTCTACTCCTTAAGAAAAAAGGCAGTGTACTTTTCTCATCACTCCAGAAGCTGTATTTTACAGGGGAGGCTACAATATGTAGCCAGCAATGCACTTGAGATAGAAGTAAACCAGGTTTTTCACCTGAGAGAGGAGAGGTGGTTTAGTTGCTGGCCCTAATGCGTGTAGAATAGCAACTCACAAAAGGAATATTGCTCATATTTCTCTTCCTCTAGCTGACACTGTAGGTGATTCTGTGCTTTTAGAAATACAAAGTGTGAAAAAAAACACCAAAAAACCCAACCGATTTCTTCCTTCCCCACCTCCATCCCAAAACCCCAAGCAAAAAAAACTCACACCACCAAAATAAAACCCCCAAACCAACCAAAAAATCGGCATCTCTAATTTAGAAGTAGTGTTCACAGATATTCGGGATAGAGTGAATTTTCCCTCATTCAGCATTATGTGAGCTCAGGTCTTTTGAATACAATGACATATATAAATACACCTATAGCTAATGCACTCCACTGGAATGTTTTCTGGCCAGCAAATATGTTCCCATCTGACAAAAAGACAGTTTGACCAGTGCATTCATCCTTTCAGTGCATAGTGAAGAATCGGTGGTGAGGCAGTCAAGAAATCTTTATGCTTCCTTTTTGAGCTGATGGGAGAGCTTCCTTGTGCTAGTAGAAGGCAGGATTTATTGATTCTCATGTTGTAGAAGTGAAAGGGGCGGAGGGAGTAACCTGTCTGGACATGCATGGATCCTTTATCATGAGGAGTCAGGACAGTAAGCTGTGCTCAGTACATCCTTTTCCTGCACCAGCATTTCCAAGGTGATGTGCACAGTTTTATTATTTGGAAGTGTAGGGAGGATTGCAATAAACTTAAGAATTAAGGTGGCTAATGGAAGCACATATTTTATGATGACAGAAAGTTCGGGTTCGGTTTGGAGGTGTGTAATCATATGTAAAAGTAAAATAAAAAAACATGTATTTTGATGTAGGCAAATAGAACGTTGTGAAACTGCAGATGAGTTTTACAGTACCATGGGCAAGTTGACCCAGGAGATGCTGGAAGACAGTCTGATTGACAGCAATGAACTCATGCAGGTGAGTAATTGTGATATAATTATTGTTTGTGTTTTCGGTGCATCCTTCAGGTGCTGATTTCTAACAAATTACATTTTTGCTCAGATACTGCAGAAACATAAACTCTCCCAAGAATAAAAGTTTAAGATAACTGAGCTGAGCTAGCACGTCAGTGAAACAAATAGATAACCTGCAGTTCAAACTGAAATTTTATCCTATACATGAAGTATAGAAAACCACTAGGCTCCATTTCAGAAAAGTAGGTTGTGTATTGCCAGCTGAAAGTTTGTTGTGATATAATACCTAATTGGATTTACACAAGTAAGATGTAGAATCTTTTCGTAGTCATAATTTTTAGTGTGTTCTTTTGTTTTATTGTTATGTTTTGGTCATTTATTGCACTGTGTCCTTTTCGTTCTGCAGACACTGTGGGAGACGAGTTTATTATGTGATAAAGGGGAAAAAAATATCCTTCATGATTTAAAAAAAAAAAAAAAAAGCCATGAGCAGTCATCAGTGAACTGTAAACAAAGACAGTTGTAGATAAATGTAGTCCCTGAATTCTTAAAGCATGTCATTGTATGAGAAAAAAGGTCCACACTGTTCTGGGAAAGGACCTTTAGTACTGCAGATACCATTTTACTGATATGCACTTCCATGTCTTTTTGTCACATCCTTGAGGTGTTGTCTACTTAGATGTGTTATAAAGACTACATGGTACAGTTCTGGAGCTTTGCTTTTGATGAGTTACAGCATGGTGATTAAATGGGTGCAAATACGGAGCATGTAATTCACCTGAAATTTTTTACCTAAGGGAAGGCAGAAAAGTGTCCATCTACAAAGCTGCATGAGTTTATTAACAGTAGTTAGCAGGTGCCTTCTGTCACCCATTATTGGAAGCAAAACTCACTGTCTGGGATAATACACTTAATGTGGTAAAGTACTGCCCTGAAGTAAAGGATTACCTTCAGATTTTGATTTTTTTGTTATTGTTGTTGTTTTGTCTGATGAGGGAGCTCTAGGAGTGGGAAAAGTGAGCACTGTGGCTTTGTTATGCTTCAAAAATGGAAATGCTGCTGGTTGGAGGTACTCGCATGCTTTTTAAATAAGTGTTAAGGTTTCTCACAAGACAGTTCAGATATCGAGGATGCATGAGGAGAGTGGCACAAGCTGACGCCTTCTCATATTCGTTGCGTTCCAGTTCCTGGTCTCAAGTGTAGTACAAAATCAAGATGTGGCATTTGTGACAAAGAATAATGTTGAGAAAGCTGAAGTGAGCTTTAGTGACTTAGTGTGGATTTCTTCACTGTTGTGTGTAATAGAAGATAAGGCATAGGTAACCCACTGGTTGGAGGGATGGAAGGATCTTTTTGGTTTGACTGTTGCAATTACAAGTATACTAAATTAGCAGTCTTTGTGTTTCAGCAAAAAAGCACTTGGTGCAAAGTGCATGAATACACATATGTGTATTCGTAGTGTACATGTGTATTTTGTGACACTGACAGGGGCATTAAGGTAGGATAGCATTGCCATTGATACGGAGAATGTGGTAGGTTTAAGTTTTCTACATAGAGGAGCAGTGTGTCTGGTTTATGTGTGTCCTCTCAGCGGAAGAAACCACACTATAGATAGCATTCTTCAAGTCAAAGGCAGGCACTGGCAATGTGGCTGTCTCCATCTGAGGTGTTCACTCTAGGCTCTCTTTACTGTAAGTGGAGAGAATTAGGCGCTGCAGGAGTTTAGCATTAGGTGATATGAATGCCACCATGTGTCTGGCTGCTGCATTTGAACAGTTTTCTCTGTTGGAGAAGAAAGAAATATGAACCCTTGCATTAATGAAAGGATCCAGGCTGCTTGAAGATGCTGCTTTTTAAATTGCTTTAGGCTTTTTCAGAGGAGTCAGTCAGAGATGAATATTTAGACTGCTTTTTTTTCCAAATCTTTTTTTCTTTTTTTTTCTTTTTTCCTCTAATCAAAATCAGAACAGTGAATTTACATCTGATACTTTTTACAAGGTGGCTCAAGGATTAGTATCCTACTATGGAAAAGTATTAATAGCCTACTCTGCCTTCCCTGCACATTTCAATACACGTTGTTGGTGGCAGTCGTCTCGCTGTTCTTTAGACTTGTGTGACACTTACATTTGCATCTGCACTACCTGTCCAGGCTCACTTAAGCTGGTGAAGAGTAACAGGCACTTCTCTGACACTAGGAAACAAATTGTGCTCTAAAAGGCCTGTTTCCTTTGACAGTTGGAGGAGGGAGGTACAGCTGATCCTTCAGGGGCAAGTGTTGATATAGCAGATGTCTAAAGTAGATCAGAGGACTCGTTCTCTCCACTAGCAGGTATAGTTGATGCAAATTTATCATTAAAAATGCCTCCCTCCCTCCCATGCAGGCAGTGCCTATACCTAAGAATTGAGGGTTTAAAGCTTTTGCAGATTTGGCCCTTTCATGGTAGGAGTTCTTACAGTGTTGTGCTGAGGAGGACATAGAGGGATTGGAGGAGCAAGCAAACCTACACCTTCCTCCTTTTTCAGATTGAACAGTTTAGGTAATTAAAGGGTAAGTGCTGTACACATCAGATACTATACCACATGTGTATTCAGGACTAGAAGTTAAATAAATAACACAATTCAGTAATGTGATTTTATTGGCCTATTAATAAACTTTGGTTCTAACATGGAGACAGAAGGCTGTATGCCAGGTGTCTGCAGATATTCTAAACAGCACGTGCTAGATTGAGTACATGCTTTCATGCCTTCTTAGAAAGCGAGCATTTTCATAAGCAGCTAAACTAATTCAGTTTGTATGCCTAGAAACCTTGCAGCGTAGAGTAGATAAGAAGCAAACAGGAAAAGGAGAGGCATCCCTGTATGTTTACTGTGGTGGATGGCAACAGGGATTAATCCCTCTCTAGTACCCTAGCATTTTAGACTATCTCCCATAGACAGTTACCCTGATTTGATGGTGTTCACTGTTAACTTCCTACTTGAGTATTATTTTGTCTTTTCTGTTGGGTTTGTTTCTGCTTTTGCTTTTTGTTTTGTTTTCTTAGTGAAAATGAAAAGAGAGAAGAACCTTATCCCAGTGTGAGGTGGCTCTTGAAATAAGTGTATTTGAGCTGTCTGCAAAGGCAAAACTGCTTACCCTGTTTTGGAAGTCACAGCCCATCATCTTTTGTATGGTGTTCTGCTGAGGGTGTAGATGGCTTTGCATTTTTAGGGTAAGGCAAAGGATTGACAAATGCTACTGATTTAAGGTGAGAAGAGAGGGTTTTTTCCTTGTCTCTTTTCTTGTTCCCAGAATCTGCCCCTTATGGCCATAAATAAGGTAACAAGTTTGGCTGCATTGTGCTTTGTATGTGTAGGCTGTTTCCCCCTGGCACAGTTTCACCAGAATTAACCAAATGGCATCCAAGGCTGTGTACAAACTAGGAACAGGATGCTTTGACTCTGAAGCTTTGTTGCGAGGAGATCACAGATGCTGACTGACAATATTTTTTAAATTTCCAATGGACCTTGAATCAGCATAAAATTTGTTTGTGGATCTCTTACCCAGGTGGCAAGAGAGATCTCCAGTTATAATCTGATAACAAGTAATTAAGCTAAAACCGTGTATGCTAAATGAAAGAAATTGCACAGGATCTGGAAGAGGCACAGATTGGAGACAGGCAAAAGCTAAAAGAGTAATCTAAACCAGTAGGTGCAAGGAGTAAATGGAGGACTCAGTCAACTGTTTCACTTAAAGGGTAACTAGCATATGGAACAGGTTACCTGAAAAGGCTGTTGACATAAAGAGTAGAAATAAATTCCAGACACACCTCCTTCCCTATGAAGGGAGAGGGTTGAGACACATGGGGAAAAAAACCCAGGAAAGTGTGGTGGAGATCAAACAAACCAGCAGACACATTGGGCCGGAGGTAGGTGTTTCTCCAGATCATAAAATTCCTTCGTCTGGTAAACTGCCGGAATATGGCAGTTCAGGCCCTAGAGGATATTTGTCTTTCACAGTAGCATTGTAGTTTCATGGAGTGGCAAAGCTTCAGTTCATGCTCTGGGTTTTTGTAGGCATTCTCTTTGCCTTAGAGTCTGTGCATGGCTCGAGCTGTAAAAGCATTTTCACACAGAAGCCTATTGAGCTGCACTGTTGCCCTGTGCCTGATCTAGCCAGGAGTGTCCTTCCTGCTCCTCACTGCTCACATCATTGCTCTTAGTGAAACTTTTTTTTTTTTTGTTCCTTCTTCTGTCAGGAAAGGTCTAGTACTGAATTAATGTTTGCAATTCTCCTTAGTGTATTTAGCACAGACAGGGCACAGTTCAAGAATGCATTATGTAGAAATTGTTCAAAATTTCCTTTAATTTAATTGAGGCCACTTGCCTTCAGATGATAATGTCACTGACTTAATAGCACAGGAAGAAAAAGAAAAAGTAAAGATTTCCTGTCATAGGTAATGAAACATTTTTACGTTGCTATCTTTCAGGAAAATATTTAATTTTCAAGGTAGGGAAAAGCTATAATATTTCAGAGAAACTATGGGAAATTATATTTTGGCTATTTGCTTCATTTTACTTTTGACATTGAGACTCTCAATGAATTGTGTGTCAGTTATTTGAAGTTCTGAATGCCTGTAAGTGTATAAAAGCAGGGGAAAAAAAAAAAAGGCAGCTAAAATAGGTAGGAACAAGTCAGCAGTGATATTGCAAGGCATATGATGTGTCTTTGTGCCAGGTTGACTGGTGACACATGTTCCGTTATTACAGAATAAAAATAATGCTGAAAGCAAATGCATCTGCAACTATTTATCTTCTTTAACTGACCTTGTTTTAAATTCTAGGGACTACATGTAGAGTTGCAGAGAGGTTTCTTTGTTCACCATAGAACAAATTTCTTTTAAAAAAATCCAACCACCACTACCCTCCCTCCTCCCGCCACCCCCCCTCCAAAATAACAAACAAAAAAAAAAAAAACAAAAAACACAAACAAACAAAAAAAGAAACAAAAATCCCCACCACAAAACAACAGTCAAAACTAGAAACCCAGAGGAGAAGAGTTAGCTGGATGTTGGGTCCTTCCCCTGTCACCATAACTTTTGATTGATTTCCTTCACACAAGCTCTTGAGGCTGCTCAGGTGAAGTAAAGGATCTGTTAACAGTCCACATCCAGTGAAGATCTGCTCCTTCCTGTTTATGCTAGTGTCAATACCTTGTTGAATACTTGAGCCTAAATGTAGGTCTTCTGGAAGATCCCCAAAACCTCAGTAATGCATTCATCTAAGTGAAATCATATTTGGAGAAAGAGGAGGATTTCCAGTGTACTGACAAAGAGAGGATTGACAGTGATTATTAAATAATTATAGGAGTTGAAAAAGACCCTACATCTCACGTTATCAGTTCCATTTTTTTTTTCTTTTTTTTTACTCTGAACCATATGTTTGTCTAGTGAGTCAGTCTTTATTTTTCTTACAGGAAATACCAACTGAATCATAAAACTAAACCATTTCCATTTTTCTTACAGCACATGAGAATGTGCAGCATTTAATCCTGCAAGACTGTGAAAGTCTGTTCATGGAGAAATCTTCCGTGGGACTGTTAGTTAAAGTAAAACTTTTTAAAAGCTGTATATTTTTTTTTTCTTTCCCCCTAGACTGTTTATACCATGGCTCAGTTTCCCTTCCCACAACTGGCAGAATTAAGAGAGAAATACACATACAACATTACTCCTTTCCCTGCAGCAGTAAAATCAACTTCACTTTCAGGGTAAGTTTGAAATGCACTGCTTATGGCATATAGAGTTATTGGTTACCCTACGCAGATAGTGAAAAGACAGGTGACATCCTCCCTTGTATGCTCCTAAAGAAAATAAAGATGTTTGGTAACGGTCATACTTAAGAACGTCTGTCTCTTCTTTCTCTTATGTTCTCATTTGACAGAAGGTTGGGCAGAACCAGAGACAGTGACGAGGAGAATGACCTAGATGATGAAGACTCAATTGCCAATGCAATTGGCTGTCTTGGACCGCTAAGTGGGTTTTTGGCACCAGAGCTACAAAAATACCAAAAACAGATGAAAGGTAATAGTGCTTCTGTTCATTCTGGAAAACATAGTTAAATCTGCACGACCTTGCAGAAGTCATCTGCAGCTTCCTCTGTGAAAGCTGCTATGAAAATTGTATTTTGTATTCACGTAGAGATTACAGCAGGTGCTAAATGACTTGCTCTACGGTCCATGAAGATGTCTTCAAAATCAAGTTTGAAAGCTGTATGTATGCAGTAAATGACTGTGTGAGTTAAGGATTTGACTACAGTTAAAAAAACAACCCTATGGTGTTGCCCACCCCCAAAAAAAGAAGCACGTGTGTGGAAAAAAGCCCCCCCTAAATCCATGCTTATTTCCAAGACAGTTGTTAGGTAGTCAGCATTTTCTGAAGAGTGCACGTGTAATAAATAATCTTGACCTTTATTAGCTTCCAGTATTAGCCATGCATATGCCATCAGCAGTGAGTGAATTCTGCAGGCCCTTTTGGCCAAGCTTTCAGACTGTTGTATGTTTTGGGTATATTCACATTTTTTAAAAAAACTGGGTATGTGTTAGGGTATTCTGAAAAAATGTCACTATTTTTCCAATCCCTTCATGTTGAAATAAAATTTCTGATAGAGTTGCATGTTTACCTGTGCAACCTCTACAAGCAGAACAAAATCCTGATTCATACAGGAAAAGCAGATTATTTGTTAACTTGCAGCCGCCTTTACGAAATGGTATTGGATCAACAGGGATTTTGTCATATCCCGGGAGAGGCTGTAGTTATTTATCCCCAACCCATCCCCACCTTCCCCACAAAAAAAAACCCGGATTGATGTCGCAGTTGCTGTTAGCTGATTACACATCAGCATTCTTGTGGCTTGGTTTTGCTGAGACCTGTAAGCTGCAGTTTTCCTCTTGATCACCATGGTGTTTTGCTTTTCCCTTCCCGAGGGACTGTAAGTCTCTAACAGTTGCTTCAAGCTAGCACATAGTCAGAACATCAAACTGCTGTTGCAAACTAAGCCAAAGACAAACAGACATCACTTGAAAAAGAATTAGCCCCTTGACCCTGGAGTGCCAGTTTGGTGGTGCATCAGGAGCAGCTGTGAAAATAAATTGCATGGCAGTTGATCAGAGACCCTCTCAAGCTGCCTGATCCTCAGCTGCTCTGTGCCTAAACCTTTTGTTGCTACTAGCAGTTTCCTCCCTGTGGTGCTGTAATTGTTTCTTGATGCTTCTCGCTGCTCTCACTAGGTGGGTTGTTTAATCTCATGCCTGCTTGACTGTAATGTGTTTTATAACTTGCATTGTTAGCCTCCTCTTTGTCCAACTGAGTGTCTTTAATAATCAGTTTCTGAATTACTTTAGTTATGGTTTGGTGTACTTTTGCATAATTGAAAAACTGTGCTTATAACTTTGCATTGTGATGTTAATTGGCTTTCGTACTCTTTAAACTCCCCTCAACCCTTGCTATTCTTAATCAGGAGTTCTAGAAATGTAATACTACTTATTATAAATAGTGCAGCCTTGTTAAATATGCATATTGTAATAAATTTTCAATTGAAGACTACAGTTAAATAAGGCAATAGAAATCAGACGTAGATTTCCCCTGTAGATAATTTACAGAACTCTTGAGCATGCCAATTTACTCCTCATCTCCACTTTATTCCCACTCCATGCAGATCAGAACGAAGAGCAAAGTCTGGGTTCCAGTAACATTGCAGAATTAAGTCCAGGAGCAATAGACTCTTGCCGAAGCGAGTATCATGCCGCTTTTAACAGCATGATGATGGAGCGTATGACCACTGATATTAATGCACTGAAAAAGCAATACTCCAGGATAAAGAAGAAGCAGCAACAGCAGGTTCACCATGTGTATATAAGAGCAGGTAACATATCAAAACACACTTCTTTTACCGGTACAGTACAAGCTAACTTCATCACCGGGGACAAGGCAAATAATATTCTTTAACATTTAATGAAATAAACGAAACAAGAGAGACTGATGGAATATATCACACGTTAGTAGTAAAGTGGGTACCTGATTGTAAATGAGAAGGTGATGTTTTTTCTTCTTTTGTCAGGATCTGAAGATGATGACCCTGGGATTTTTTTAGGTCCCAGGGACCAGCTGAACAATGGTATTTAAAAGTGTCTTTGTTCTCTGGGTGGATTGTGTTGATCTCTCTGATTAAAACCTTTAAATCTTTGGCATTCTTGGACTTGACATGCTGATGCACTGGAAAAAGTGAAACGAGGAGTTGAGTACGCTTCAGACCAAGTGGCAGGTAGATTCATAGCTGCTCCACATTATCTGGGCATGGCAAATTACACAGATGAACAGGCTTAGACGTTCCATTGTGTCTGACAGTTTACCTAGCCATGATACTGCTGTGAGGATTGAGCTGCACATCAGTCTGTTACTTAGGAATCCACGTTACAGAGTCTGTTTCCCCAGTGGGCAAACTAAACAGTGTGGGGGTTAGCATGTACAGCCCAGCTGAACGCAGCCCACCCACTCGTTCCTCCCCACTTAGGTGTCGTCTTTCTGAGTCAGAACTGAAGGATGCAGATGGGTCACTGGGGTGAACTTTTATTCCTCTTCTAGATTGTCTAAACTTGTCCTAGCAGGAGCATTTTAATACGTAGAGCTGCAATTTGTCATTAACATCATTCATAAGGAAATGTATTATTATGATTATGATTAGTATTTTTAATATTGGCAAGATATTTTCTTTGAACAAAGGCTATAGCCAGCAGAAACAGTGCAAACAGTAAAATGTTGATTCCCAAGGACTGCCAACCTCTAACCCCAAATACAAACCTATCTAACCTTACTAATCGTGATGCGGGACTGGGTTTATGGTTTAATCAAACTGTCATCTAATTACCTAATTCTGAGTCTACTGCTCTGGTTTAATAAGAGGACCTAGTAGAAAAGAGTTGGTGTAGTTCATCCATTAAAAATACATTGGTTCATTCTCTAGTCACACAAGCCTCATGGAGAGGCTTATTTGACTGACCTCATACAGGAGCTGAATTGCCTCTCATGGTTGGAAGAGAAATGAAGAAGAGGGGAAAGATCAGAAGCCAATATTAATGTTAAACTATCAGTTAGAGTGCAATTCTAAAAACTGAGAAGCTATTTTTGTTATGATTTATTTTCATTGTACTCCTGGCTCAGGAATTACCCATAAGTAAGAAACATGAAATCTTTACTGAAAAGTTTACAGCTTTGTGTTTGACTCCCAAGATGTAAGAGAAAGTCAGTGGGGGTGGTTGTTTGTTGTTTTTGTTTTTTTTTTTTTAATAGCAGTCAGTTCTACAAACCTTTGCTTTACCTCAAGAAAGGCGTCAAATTTGGTGGTGAATCCTTAAAACATTAATTTGTTTTGTTCTCTAACAATACTGTGTTTCTTTTTAAACACTTTCTTTCAGACAAAGGGCCAGTTACCAGCCTCCTCCCTTCTCAGGTAAACCATTCCCCAGTGATAAACCACCTCCTTTTAGGAAAGAAGATGAAATTGAATAACAGGTCTCTCAAAAATGCTGTTATTCACATCCCAAGTCATGCTACAGGGAAGATGTCTCCCATTCCCCAAGAAGATCTTAAAACAAAACTGAACTCTCCGTGGCGCACTCACATACGAGTTCATCGAAAGAATATTGCTAGGGCCAAAGGCCAGCTGGGCTATGGGGACACCATAGGACTAATAGATGAGCAGAGCGAGAGCTGTAAAACAAATAGTCCTGGTGCTAAGGAGGAGAGTTCCAAACATTCTGCATTTGGAGAAGGAGGAGGAGGTGGTTTGGATGACAGGACTGCTCGGAAAGCTGACCAGCAGTCGTCTGAGCCAGTCTCCACAGACAGCAGTACAAACATGGCAGTGGTTCAGCTAAAACTGGAAGCACTGGAACTCACTTCAGACAACAAAACCGATGCTGAGTCAACATCCCATCAGTCCAGCCAGCCACGTTTATCAGAGTCCTCCAGTTCCTCCAGTGACAGTGGAAACGGGGCGAAATCTCCCCAGCCTGCGAACCCAAAGCTGCAAGTCTTCAATCCTTTTCCCAGTGTCAAGCCCCTTCGAAAGTCAGCTACAGCCAGGAATTTAGGGCTGTATGGCCCCACCGAAAGAACGCCAACTGTACACTTCCCACAAATGAGTAGAAGTTTCAATAAATCTGCCAGTGGCAACACTGGGACCAGGAAACGATGATGTGCACTGCCTGGCACTTTCTATTTCTGACAGTAACAAAAAAGTTGTATTACCTTTTTTTTTTTTTTTTTAATGTGTGTGTGTGTCCCAAAGCATTTATGATCTTTAATTAAGTAACAGGGACAAAAGTGGTTACCGGATGTATAAATACGTGGTTTTGAAAATTGTGCTCCCGTGTTCTTATGGGATAGATTAGTGAAGATGCACTCTGGCACCCTGTTTTCGATTCTGATGGTTCTGTGGTAAAATAAACATTGATTTTCACTGTGAAGCATATTGTTTCTTTAAATGTAACTCAGACATAAAGTCACTGGCTGCCTTTAACCCCTCAGCCCCCCCCACGGCTGCCTCTTGTCTCCAAAACTTGAAGGACAAATTATCTGCTGCAGCAGATACGTGTAACAGTTTTTCTGACTATTAGGTAGCTTCCCCATTAGACCTCGTCATGCTCTATGAGGAGCTGGAGAAGCCATGACTAACAGAAGCACAAGCAGCCCCAGCAATCAAAAATACCACTTTGTGTCTGACATTACCACTTACCTCCTGAGGCCACCCGGCTTCAGACGTTCCTGAGCAGCATTTTGTGCTTCTCTTTCCACAGCAGTTCTCTGCTGCTACTGTTTTTAATATAAATGTAATCAGTGAGTGTGAGAATAGCAGACAAAAGTCCATCCGCAACACTGGTTTGCTCCTTTCCTGTTACTTATGTACATAACACATATTTCTGTTACTGCTGGAAAGTTGCAGCACTGCAAAATCAGGAATTGGGTACAACTATAGGTGTAGTTGTATGAATATATGGCACATCTTGGCATCAGTGGTTTTAAAACCTATTATCTAGATTATAGACTTGTAATTAAATCATATTTGCCAGTTTAGCAGTAGGTAAAATATATGAACGTTCCAAAATAGTTTAGGGTTTTAAATTCTATAAATAGAGTGATTAGCTACTTAGGGTGCCACTTACCATTAGAAGCCAACGCATCAGCCACTTGTAAGTGGGATGGACCCATGGAACTATCCTGGGCTTCCAGGGCTTCCTTCTGGTTTGGTGTGGAAGAGCAAGGGCAAAGCAACAAGCTGAGTATTTACTTCTCAATCAAAAACAAAAGCTGGTGAGAACCATAAGACAAGTACATTTTTTTCTCTATATATTAAACAGGCAGACAGAGAAACTAAATGTTGGATATTTCAACTTCAGGGTTGCAAAATCAAGCACTCCAAGAAACTTGATTTGCTCTTAAAATGTTACATCTCTGCCTAACTGTATGTATTAACTGTGATTCGTGACCTTATTGCTTCCAAGTTTCCCACAACATGAGTGTCATTATTTTAAACTGGAGTAACAGCAGTAAAGCGAATCAGCCCCATGGTATGTAATATTTTACTTCCTCTTTTAAAATTCTTTGTTAAATTTTCAAATTAATATATCATTGTCTGTTTATTAATGTATCCCATAACCTGTGATATCTTATGTGATATCAATTTTACGGTATACCATAATTTATAAGCTGTACAATATACCCTGTTTATTGTTGTGGGGACAGTTTTATTTTGTTGCTTTATACCAATGTATGTGTATAAAAATAATATGAAAGTATGAACACTACAAATATAAACCAGATGTAGAGCAGATCTCGCCCCTGACTTATTTTCAGGTTATAGTAGTATTGTCACTAATGATTGATTATAGTGCTAAGTAAATTTAAAATAATGTAGAATTTAGTCACTGATCACAGACTGTATGAGAATTGTTTCTGCCTTGATTTAGAAGAAATGGACTTATCAAAATATTACTGTGAATCATTCTCCCCGTTTTTTCTTAGCCATGTGTTACACTGAAGCTGTATACTGAACCAGTAAAAATAAAAGGACTGTCATTCTGCAAAAACTGCTAAAATGTTGCAAGTATGTGCATGAATTTTCAACACATTAAGATGTGATTAAGTAATGTAAAATTAGCAAGCTCTGCACGGATATTGATCTGGGAAAAGAAATGCCAATAGAATACTAATTCTAGCAATTCAGACCTAATCAATAACTGATGAGCATGCTCTGAAGGTCTTGTACTCTACTTGGACACTTAGGATTGAGGTGAAGGAACCACGGCAACTCGGTGTGTTAGTTAGATGTTTGCTGCAGGAAATTTTCTTTAAGTACCGCTAGGTGAGAAAATGGAACGTCATTTTAGCTGTTCAGTGCCTCAAAGGATGTTCTGCCCGTTGAGCGTACCGCAGTGGCAGCTTCATCACTTGGTACTGAGGTGGAACATCAAGGTGAGGGCCAGGGAACCAGGAAACTCCAGAGAAGTTTCCAATTCTTCTTCCCTGAAGAATTTCCTCAGCGGATGAGGTCCGGTGATGCATCTGTGCTTCCAAGAGTGGCACTGCAGCACTGAGGACGTTGGGAAGCATGTTGATGGGAGTCTCTGCTTCATAAACCTGCATGTTGTTCTCCTTGAGGCTTCCTTGTACTAATGCTCCCGTCTGTGCAGCTAAATGGCCTTTCTGTTGTTTTTTTTGTTTGTTTGTTTGTTTTTTTCAAATTCGTAGAGGGTTTTTTTTTGAGAAAGTATTTTATTATGGTCAGATTGACTTTTATTTCTGACAATGTGTTTCACCATCTTCAAGTGGGAGCTCCTAAGGGATGGGCATTTGATTCTGATTTGAGGACACTCACAGTCCTGCAAGTGGAAACGGATCCAAAGCTATTCTGAAATTATTCAAAATTGCCTACACTTTGGGGGTGGAAATCGTAGATGGTAGAAATCAATTTTTCAGAGTTGGCAGGCAGCAAACAGTTGGTTTCATCCACAGCTACAGCTAGGGATAATATGATTTTGTATACTTAACAAAAATCCTACCAGAATCCATTCAAGAGAACATAGGTGGTTGCTAGAAAGGCAACAAAACGTTATTTCAAGCAAAAATAAAATGCAGCCCTTTATGCTTCCACTTCAGGTAAAAGTTCATGTTCAAAATCCAAGAGAGACTTAAAATGCTTCAAACCTCCACAACGTATATTTTAAACCAAGTGAAATTGCTCATACAGAAATAAGGTGAGTGGTGTCACTGTTCTGTAGCTTTCCTTGACCTTCTTGCAATGAGGCACCTGGCGCCTGTCCACCGGCAGCAGTCACACCTGGCTGAGTGGCCGGGAGCCAGTGCCTTCATCGGACACCAGCTCCACTGAGGTACGAAGAGACAAAAATTCATCCTAATGGATCCCTATCCTTGTCACTTCTTTGCTCCGGTTCTATTCGCTTTTTGTTGGCGGGAGATTCATTCGAGGCAGGGGGGTGTCATGGAGCCCTGCGAGTGATTTGAGATGTGCAGTTGTCCCAGGTGAGCACCCTCAGCCCGTGTCTCATCAGCCGGCAGGGACCGGCTGGCCGACTGGTTTCTCAAGCAGCCAGAAACTGCCGTGCGCGGGTGACAGCATCCTTGGGAAGGTGTACTCCTCGGGGAGGGTCACGTGTGGGAAGTCCACGTGTGAAGGGTACTTCTGTCTTCTGCACACCCTTCCCCACTGAAGAGCCAAGCCTCGGTGGCTTGTTCAGGCTGACTTTGTCCGACACGAGGTATTTAACGAGATTTAAGACACTGAAGTGGTTTGTGGTGTGCGATCATGTCAGGCTAGCTGATGTTCAGGCCCAGACTTCCCCAGCCTCCAGGATGCCATTTCAGCTGTGCTTCACCCTGCAAGCAGCTTACAGCACTTACTGGCTCACCACAGGTTTAAAAAGAACCATAAGTGTTTCCAAGTCTTTGTCTGATAAAACCGTATCAAACCATGCTGGCTTACCACAAACAAGCAGGCAGCTGTGGTGGTGGCGTGGGAGCTGATGCATGTGGATGGAGAGGATGGGAGGAGGGAAGGAGCAACCTATGCAAGCAAAAGGTGCAAAAAGTTTTGAGGGAAAGCAAACTCCTTGGTGTCTGTGCTGCTTTTTAGGTTGTTTTTAAACAGCAAATCAAAGGCTTCGTGATGTGCCGCTCTCTGCCCATCCTTTGTGTGTTCAAAGTGCTCATGGACTTGCCTGGTGCCAGCGGGAAGCCACAACCCGTGGTGATGTTGTCCACTCACTTGGTAGCCCGGGGGTTGCTCCCCGCCTGGCTCGGCAGGAGGGAGACGCCAGCAAAGAGCCCTCCAGTGTGCTTCACCGCGGCTCGGCTGGCACAGTGAGCTGTCAAAAAGGGGGCGAACGCTCAAATCCCAGCCGGGGTAAAACATGTGCTGTCATTGCTGGCAGACCTGACTTCTCTGGGCCTGTACTCTGAGCCAGCTCCACGGGGAGGGTGTAGTTGTGATGACACGGCCCCAAAATTAGGCTAGTAAGTGATGCTAACGGGCAGGATGGATGCAGCTGTGCAACCCCGGCCGAAGCTCGGCGCATTATCTGCAGCTCCACAGTGTGGAGCCGCTTGTTGGCTCAGCCCAAAGGCTTTGCAAGCCTGTATGTGCTCAGCTCATGGCTTGCACCAGTTAGTAGGGGATCTGGTGGATGTACACACCACTCAAACCACAGCAGTGCTTGGGCTTTAGTCCTCCACATCTGGTTTGTCAGCAGCAGCCCGGTTGGTCTGATAGGAAGGACTGCTACATGAAACGTTTGCCCTGTCCTTCTCTCGAGAGTGTGTACGGTTTTCCATTATCACATGCTGATTTTCTGATATTTTTTAATTGCTGGTGACATGGGGAAGTTTTTTGAGGAGCACCTAATTCTTTGAATACTGGAGCAGGAGGGACAGGGGTGCTCTCTGCACAGCAGCACTCAATAGTTTTTGCAACTGTTTCTACATTTGGCTTGTGCTTTCCCTTTTGTGAACTCCCAACCCTTGCTTGTGTTCATTGACTGCATGTTTGATGAGAGTTTTCAGGAAGATAAGGATAGCCATGCTGCTCGGATTAGCCCAGCATCTTTTCTCTGACCACTAATGGTTGGAAACACCTGAGAAAGGAGACCTGTAGGAACACGATGCATCCAGAGACAGCCTTCCCTTGGGGCAGTCATCCCATTTTGTCTGGGTTATGCACATCACACAGAGGTGAGGGGGATGGCCAGGCCAGCGGCTCATCCACAGCAAACCAGCAGTGTGCTGATCTGGGCAGCTGCATGCACAGCAGGGACCACAAACAGCGGTTCAGTAGCAAAATTTTCTCCTTCACATGAAAAGAATAACAATAACGGAGACATGATCAGGAATGCAAAGAATAATAAACACCAGAAAATGTGAGCCTGAAACAGTAGCCATCGCCGCGATTCCTGCTGCGTGCTGGTTTGCCTCCGCGGGCTCCGCTTGCACTTCGAGCTGCATGGTGGTTCCCCCCCTCCGGCTGACCGGCCTCCCCTTGGGAAGATGCCGCAGGACTGGCCTGGAGGGATCCTCCGAAGGGGAAGGAGGTGGGGACAGGCTGGAAAACCTCACAGGCCCTCAGAGAGTCAGACACGGCTGAAAACCCGGGCCCAGTGCCTCACACAGCACATGCAGTGATGAAAGGTGCTCAGGCAGCAGTTCCCCACCAGTTTTTCAGGCCTATTTGGACGCACTCCGTGGTGCTGCTCCGCTCCTGCTGCTCGCTGGCCATAATGGCTCCTCCGCTGCATGCGTGCACGTACCTTGCTTTCCCTTCCTAACAGCTCCAGTGGCTCCTCCAAATGACACCCGGGAACCAACATCAGCCCAGAGTCCAGGGCAGGAGCCACTCACTGCAGATACACCACAAGGACACCTCTGGAGGGAGGGGGTTTGGCCAGCAAGAAGGAAACAAGTTTATTCTTAGGAAAAGTAGGTGAGGTCTCTAGAGACCATCCATCATTGATATAGGAGTCCAGTGTTAAAACTTTGAAAGGCCAATGATTTACAGCTTACCTGCAGTCAATCACATGCGCTCAGGGGGAGGAGAGCTGAGCAAAGCCTTACGAGGTGCGAACTTGTAGTTCCAGACACCAAAAGTGGTGTCAGAAATCTTCCTATTTTCACAACTATTTTCACAAGTATGACTTAAAACTGCAGCTTTCCTTACTCTCCTAATGACATCTTTTCATGAAACTTGGTTGGTTTTTTTTGTTTTCCTAATAAATGTAGGTATATTACTCTGTTTTATCTGCACCAAGATACTGATCATCTTCTGCTTGTTCTCACACTACCAGTCAGTTGCATTAGACACCATGCCTTTTTGAACTCCAGATTACTGCGTATGATAATTTTTTTATATTGTTGTCCCTGCACTAGTAAACTTTTCACCCAGATGCAACAATACTGCTCACTGTCTGGCCCACAGCGCTCTTAGAGAAGAGGCCTTTCTCCAGAGGGAACAGAAGGACTATTGTCCGCTTGGCAGAGGGACAGATGACTTTGTGTGGCCCGACACGTTATCCATCCTTGCTAGCCAGCACTGAGCCACTGGTTTCCATCCAGACTGGAAAGTGTTTCTTCCACTCATGCTGAAGAGACACTTCTTCTGCCATGGTGTGAGCGGCAAGCTGTCCCACACCGCTGCTGAACCTCCAGGCTGGTGTGACAGACAGAGGGTTGGGGAGTGGATTTCACTACTGCAGTTTGCAAGACATGATAGCGTCTGCTGTAAAAGTGCTAAAATATCTGACCACGGAGATGCAATATTGCTAACTGCTGGAGGTGAGACCAGGTCTGCGGCCATCACCACCAGCAAGTCAGTGATGTAGCCCCTGGCCTCAGTCTGCACCAGTGTCTTTCTGCCTTCATCTCAATTCCTGGTGATCTTCGAGGTGTGGTCACTAGATGCCACTGGTGCTCCATGCAAACACAACTATGCTGCAATTCCTGTGAAAGGAAATAGAGGCGTAGCTCAGTGTTTCCAACAGGTTTTTTTTCCATTTTCGATCTGATGTGGAGCAGTTTCCAGGCCAATCACCTT